CTGCAACAGTAATCTAAAATGACAATAAGTCAAGTAGAGTCAAACGTGTACAACATTCAGCCACTCCAAATGTATTTAGTTTAATGGTATCAAGATAAGAAGAGATTATTCAAATAACGCTGTTTATCTTTGCAATTATTTTACTTAAAATATTTTTGAGGCTTGGGATTTTTGATTAATGATTTAAGATTCATAGCACAAGTATCATAATTAATCACAATGCCACTGGACTGTGGCCTCCCCTTTTACTTTTAAGTGCAGTCTTGAGGGCCATGGTATTGGAAAGATATTAGGGAAATAAAAAGGATTATCACACAGATTCACCAAATATTCAAATATGAGGAAGTATACGTGAAAGCCACCTTTAGAAAATTGAGACTGCTTTTGTTAAATTGGAGAATGTGAAGGAGGTCTGACTGAAGTGCTTAAAACCAAATGGATGGAATGGAAGATAGAAATAAATTCTGTACTCTAGAACTCTAGAAGTTAGAAATATGTCAACCAATTCTTTTGTCTATGGGGATTAAGTTCCAACTGGGTTGGTTTAGGGTAGACATCTGAGCCACACACTAGTAGTTAAATAGATGAAAGAAAAGCGTATCCAATGGTAAATGGGCTTAAAGCAGCTTATGCAGGATGAGCATAACCCTTTTTTTTTTAAAAAAAACTGCGGATGCTGGTAATCTGAAACAAAAACAGAAATTGCTGGGAAAATCTTGGCAGGTCTGGCAGCATCTATGAAGAGACGGCAGAGTTAATATTTGGGTCCAGTGACCCTTCAGGATTCAGTTCAGCTGAGTTTCTTCAGTAATTTCTCTTCTCTTTTTTATATATCGAAAAGGGTGCATCAGTTGCAGTCCTGAGGATACATTCTTGTTTTTATATTTTAAAAAAGTCCTTCATTTTCTTTGCATGTAGAAAAAGGAAGAAACATTAGTGACATGAGCAAATCCTGGTGCACACAAGACCATGTATAGGATAGAAAGATTTTATTGTCACAAGTACAGGACTACAGTGAAAAATTTACAGTTTCGCCATTCAGTGCTTCATCTTGGGTACAAAGTAGAAAAATACAGAAATAAGTTTAAAAATTCAACATCACTTTCTATTTAGAAGAACAGTAGTCAATAAAGAAATAGTTGCGTTCAGAGTTACAATCCTTTAGTCACAGGCCTGCAGTTGCTTCACACTGGGATTTCCCCATAAGGACTCTCACTTCCCTGCGCTGGGTTCTATCTCTTGATCCCCATGCCTCGACACTGCTGTCTCACTGCTGACTGCCACCTGGGCTCAGCAGCCGCCTCACTGCAGGCTACTAGAGTCCTACTCTGGATCCCCAGCCATTTCCATGATCCAAAGCTCAAAAGTTGCAATATTGCTGACCATCAGAGTTCTGGCTGGATGCACACTCCAGACAAGGGGCAAGGGATGCGAGGAAGCTTGTGGGCAGTGAGTTGATGGGTGGTGATGGAGCTTAGAGTTAAGAAAGGAGTAGGCAGACCAGGGGATTATTGATAGTAAACCAGGACAAAAGAGAAGTTGAATGTGATAAAAGGCCTAAAAATAGGAGAAAGTGGATAGGCTGTTCTGGAAGCAACCCATGTCATGACAGGACCAGGATGGGTTTCAAAAAACATGGAAGCACATGACCAGACTCCCATGTCATTGAACTCAATGTTGAGTCCGAGAGGCTGCAGGGTCCCCGGTCAAAAGATGAGATGTTGCTCTTTGAGATCTCACCGAAGCTCGCTGGATCACTGTGGCAAGCCTGAAACACATGTTGATGTGGGAACACAGTGGTGTGTTGAAGTGGCAGATGAAAGGCCACAGGAGTGAGTTGAGGATTTCTCCAACAAAGTAACTAATACTAGCGCAGGCTGATGTCTAAAGTAGAAGCAGGCATTAAATATCTTATTCTTTTACTATGCCCAAAATCCCAGTCAAGCTCCACTAAACAGTGAAAGCTATATACAAAGCACTGGAGAAACTTGTGTCTATTTCATTTATGGAGAGAGAAATAAAAATAACATTTTGAGTCCAACAGGACTTTTTTTTTAAAGGAGTCGTATCAGACTTGAAACGTTAACTCATGTTCCCCTCTCCTTAGATGCTGACAGACCTGCTGAGTTTCTCCAACACTTTGTCTATATTAGCAAAAACTGTGTTATTGTTTAGAGCTTTGGTTTGTTTTGCCTTTTGGTAAAAAGACTTTTGTTTCCTACCATACTTTGGTTGAGTGCCTCCCCGTGGGAGTTTGGTTGATACTAGTTTGGTTTCCTTTGTGGTTATTAACTATGTTTTCCAAAGAAAGGTATTGGACACTAAGTATCTTGAAATAGTACATTTAAGGTAGTGAATTCACACCCATCTTGTCGTTGTGTGCAGGAGCTGCTGGACATTGAGGAGATTAGGATATTAATAAATGGTCATTGTTGTTTGTACCTATTTAGAACATTGCTGTCCACCCCAACAAATGTAAAGTTGCTCCAACCTGTGAACACCAGAGATAAAAGTGGACTACAATACGTGTTCTGGATTAATTTCAAGAAGGCTGTCAGTGAAGTAAGGAGAAAGCTAGCTATGTTTGGTGAACATGTTGTTAGATGGCAAAAAACTACAAAATCAAGAATTCTGGATAATAATAGTATTTCCATTGTCCATGTGTCATAGATCGTTAATTTTGCTCTGCCTAACCTGCCTTTTTTTTTTTTTTTTTTTTTTTGTTCCTTTCACAGTAAAGATTATAAAGTTCAATCAGTTGAAACCATGTCCTGACATCCAAGAGGAAGAGCGAAGGCATCGATATCCGAACCACACTAATGTGCTCTCGGAGACTGGATTCAGGTGAGTGAAACTTCTAACATGAAACTTTTTTTCTCTTCTGGGGACTTCCATTTTGTTTTAGTCACCCGTGATAAAGGTATCAATGTTTTATCTTCTCTTAACTGCTCAGCTACTACCTTGAGTAAATGGTTGTTACTCCAGCTCACCTTCCACCTGTTGAAGATATTTAGTTGAATTCAGCCTATATTTCTGCCCCAGAAGAAGGGTTAGGTAAACTGCCAAATTCCCAAGTCCTAGCAAAAAGGCTGTCCAGTATGGAACATTACTTGTGAATCAAGATATGTATTTGTCATTTCAAGCATTTTTTATTACTGTAGAAAATTCACTGCTGGTAATTGGGAAGCTGAAACATGTGTGTTTTTTAACACGTAGATTTTCTGCATCCATTGTTGCTCTACTGCCCTCCTCGCTTGGATTTCTGTATATAGTATCTTAGGAGGTTTTATGTGGTGTATCTGTAGTTCTGTTTATGAAGTGAATATATTTATGAAATAGATTCCATTGGAATCTATTTGTGATAAGATGACTGGACTTGTATCACTACGGAGTTGCACTCCTCTTTTTGCCACATTTCTTTATTTAGCTGTGATATACTTGCGTGGACATAGCTTCCCTTCCAGTTCTACAATTATCTCCTCATTAATATTGAATCGTCAAAGTATTGAGGAGTTATCAGATCATCCACCCAGTGTATTAGCAATAGTACAGTGAAGAAAGGAATTTAGACTCTTATTCACCTGTTTATCTTGGAAGAGCTGAGATGAGTTTCAGCATCTCTATCATATTGCTGGTGATCTCCTCACAAAATGAGAATTGAACAAGGCATCTTCCTAGTTGTCGTAACTCAGCCGCCATTAGATAAGGAGGCCTCGTTCCTTGGGAATTGCCCCTGCCTCTGAGCCAAAAACTTTTGTGTTTGAATCTTACCTAAACCTAATGATGAAGGGTGCATCCATATAGTAACCAAACATGCATTGGAAGTGTTTGCTCAAAGGCAGGTGGTAAGACTAGGAGAGATTCCTGGTCAGCCGTGAGATGGAAAGAACGTGGGAGCTTCTAGCATCACTGTCCATAGCTCCAGACTACAAATGTATATACATGTCACCACAGCAATGTTGATTTCCTGAGTGACTAACGCCCCACCACCATTACATAAACATGTTGAACCAGAAAAATGTAGCAGTTTGTAATTTTGGGACCTCCTTTGAAACAATCGTATTTGTTCAGAATATTTGATTTCAAGGTGTTCTCCACAATAATAAAATTCTATGCAACTTGGGGATGGCACGGTGGCTCAGTAGTTAGCACTGCTGCCTCAGTGCCAGGGACCCAGGTTCGATTCTAGCCTGAACGACTGTGCAGACTCTACACAGACATTCTCCCTGTGCCTGCATGGGTTTTCTCTGGGTGCTCCAGTTTCCTCTCAGTTAGGTGGATTGACCATGCTAAATTATCTGTAGTGTCTGGGGATGTGCAGGCTAGATGGATTAGCCATGGGTAATGCAGGGTTAGGGATAGAGGAGTGGGTCTGGGTGGGATGCTGTTTGGAGGTCACTGTGGACTTGATGGGCTGAATGGCCTGCCTCCACACTAGGGAGCCTGTAATTCTATGACTTAATAACACAATGCCTAATGTGACAGGTCTGAGTTCAAATTCCAGTCTACACACTTGACTGTCAGGTCGTGACGATGTACTCATGTGGAGCACAATGTACCCAAGCAAAATTGGGGATCGGGGCAAAACTCTCTGGTTAGAGTCCTGCAAAACATAGGAAGATGGTTGTGGTTATTGCGGATCAGTCATCTGAGCTCCAGAACGTTTCTGCAGGGGTTCCTCCGGGTAGTATCCTTGGATCAACCATCTTCAACTGCTTCATCAATTACCTTTCTCCCCAAATGCCTCACTATCAAAAGGTCGGAAATGGAGATGTTTGGCAAAGATTGCACAATGTTCAGCACCGTTTATAACTTGTCAGTGTCTGCTTCAGTATCTGACCCAATTGCAGCAAGACCATCCAGGCTTGGGCTGATAAGTGGCAAGAAGCATTTGTGCCTTACCATCGCTGTCCTCCATTATCAACATCCTGGGAGTTACCGCTTGACCAGAAACTCAACTGGAATCTCCACATGAGCACAGCAGCTACTACAGCAGGTCAGAGGCTGAAAGTATGGTGGCAAATAATTCCCCTCCTGAATTCCCAAAGCCTGTCCACCATCTAGAGGATACAAGCTAGGAGTGTAATGGAATATGTCCCACTTGCCTGGATGAGTGCAGCTCCAACAGCATGAAAATAGACTTGACATCATCTAAGGCAAAGAAGCCCACTTGATTGGCACTACATTCCCTCGCTCTAGCTCTGACGCTCAGTGGTTGCAGTGTGCACTGCAGAAATTCACCAAAGATCCACAGACAGCACCTTCTAAACTCATGACCACTTCCATCCAGAAGGACAAGGGAGATGCCGATCTATCCATGCAGGTACATGGAAAGACCATCACCTGCAAGTCCCCCTCCAAGCCACTCACCATCCTGACTTGGAAATGCATCGCCGTTCCTTCACTGTCACTGGGTTTAAATCCTAGAATTCCCTCCCTAAGGGCATTGTGGGCCTACCTACAGCACATGGACACCAGTGTTTGAAGAAGGCAGCTCAGCACCACCTTTTTTGAGGACAACTGGTGGAGGGCAATAAAGGCTGACCAGCCAGGGATGCCTACACAATTTAATAAAAGCGGAATCTTTGGTGATACTTTTTTCTTTCTGATGGGTGGAGGTGATGACCTAGTGGTATTATCACTGGACTGTTAATCCAGAGATCCAGGTAATTTTTTTTGGTGACTCTGGCTCAAATCCTGCCACGCCAGATGGTGGAATTTGAATTCAATGAACATCTGGAATTAAGAGTCTAATGATAACCATGAATCCATTGTCGATTGTTGGAAAATCGCATCTGGTTGACTAATCCCCTTTTTTTAGGGAAGGTAACTGCCATCCTTACCTAGCCTGGTCTACATTTGACTCCAGACCCACAGCAATGTAGTTGACTCTGAATTCAGCATTTAAGGATGGGCAATAAGTGATGGTCTAACCAGTGATGCCCACATCCCTTGAATGAATTTTAAAAAAAAAAAGACATTGAAACAAATGAGGCTACAAACATTGCTAGGTGCACATCAGCCATGCATGACCAGGAACACACTGCTGGCAACAGAATAGCAACTGTCTGTCCTTTTTTAGGTGGGGTGGGGGGGGAGGCACTGCTCACTGTGCAGGACAAGGCAGGGACAAACTTGAGCTTTGGCTCCATTGCTTTTTAAAAATAAATTGTGATGTCCAAAACTCTGCCTTTTGCATCCTCTTCATCCAAAGTATTTATTCTCCCATTTGCCTAGACTTCGTGAACATTTTTGATATCTGGTTATAGTCCAATTTGAGGTGCTCTTGGCTGTATCTTCATTTTGTTAAAGGTGCTATATAATTAAATTGTTACTTGGTTGTAATGTTCTTCAGTGTTAGAGGGCTTTATGCAGCCCATGTTATTAGAAAGCCATTTACCCATCACTTTGGTATGGACACTTAAACGAGAATGAAAGGCTACTGACTGGCTTAAAGGGTCAAACTGAAATGACCAAACAATCTCAACCCTATTTATCTTGAGGGTTTATGGATAGCTTCAAGATCTCATCAGGGTGTCATGACTGAGATGGAAATGGAAATGGAAAAGAAATATAATTTGGACACAATACAATTTTTGTTTTTCTTAATCAGAAAAGCATCCAGGCAGATAAAGGGAGGAGAGCTTCCCCGTGTGTATTTGCTATATCTGATCTATTTACAGATGCATACTGGCATACAGTTGCTGCTGACTGGTGTCACTGGGGCCATCTGCAAATACGTGGCTTTGACAGTCAGCTTTGGCCATGTTTGACATTGCGAGCACATACTGCATTAATCCAAGGCCCTATCTGCTGTACAGTGGTTATAAAATACCCCATGTCACTATTTCAAAGACTAGAAGAGTTCTCCTGGTGCGCTGGCCAGTAGTTATCCCTCAACCAACAACAGTAAACAGATTATGTAGTAATTTTATCTCATTGTTGTTTGTGAAACTTTGAGTATAAGTTGACTGGTTTCCTACATCCCTGTAGTGGCTACATTTTGAAAAATGCTTCTTTGCGTTATAAAATGCATTGAAATGTTACTTAATGAAATGCACCATGTAAGTGTAACTTTTTTAATTTGACACATAAGCTTGCATCATACAACAATTTTGTAAAGCTGTGTTTTTCCTCTCAAGGGATGGATCAAATTTGGAAAACCTTGTGGAAAAACAAGCAGACCTCATTGACTACTTAAAAATGCACAATGTGGAATTAAGTAAAAGACTGCTGACTTTAATTTCCCAGCAAGTCCGAGGCTGAGGTTTTGAAAGAGACACTAAACATTGTGATAAACCAAAGAATAAAGAAAGGCACAGCTTGAGCTGAAGACGTCAAAACTGGCATAACCATTTTAAAGAAGTGTGACTATGAAATGTAATTTAATAAATGGGTAAAGTTATCTTCAGAATTTAACTTTTTGTATTACTGAGATTATATTAGGAGAGAACATTTGCTACAAGCATGAGTAATTTGTTTTTCCATTTTGACACAACGTTCTTCAAATCAATCATGCAGCAAAATTATCTTTTTGACTTGTGCCAAAAACTTCAATTGTGAATTGTGATCTCGGACAATTGTATCTGCTGTGTAAGTAGAGGTTTTTCTTGCCTTTGTAATCTTGACATTCACTTCTTTGTTATTGATGATGTGAATATTTTGAATGACTTTTTAAAATCTTGTTCAAGATATGAATATGTGTATAAAATGTACTTTTCAAGTTGCTTTTGAGTACTCTGCTGGCTATTCTAGATTTAGGTTAGATCTATATGCTGGTTACTTTGCAGAAATGCAACTGAAAATGTACAAGACTTTACTATCCTGTAATATTTGAATTTTGAGTTGTTGTATAATATGCATTGGAAATGTAAATAAATAATTGTACAATAAATTTTTCACAACCCACCAATTTTGTTTTTACAGTCCAATTACCACTTGCTGACACCTTACCATTTAAGGTTTTAGCAAAGATTTGTAGCTCGCGTTATGTGTGAGTTTGTTGACTTGCTCACTGAGCTGGCTTGTTTTTGTTCAGATGTTGTAACACCATCAGTGAGACCTCCGATGAAACAATGTTGTCATACTCTGCTGGAATTTATCCTGTCCGGCCTCTTACGGTGAGTTGTCACCTCCAGTTTTGTGTATGGGTTTGTATGTAGTTTACAAAATACCATGCAATGACTGCCACTGGGATTACATCGGACAGACAGGAAGGAAACTAGCCATCGGAATACATAAACATCAGCAAGCAGCAAAACGACACAATGAGCTTTCCTTAATATCAGTACACTCAGACAATGAAGGCCATCAGTTTAACTGGGACAAAGTAATCATAGACAAGCTTGGGAATTCCTAGAGGCATGGTTCTCAACCCATAATGCAAATAACAAACATAGAATTGGACCCTACACACAACAAAACTGTAATTTTCTCCTGTAGCTTGTGTCTCTTCTTTGTTTTAGTGATGGTGTGTTCTATGGTTGTAGTCCATTGCTGGTCCGTAGTATTTAGATACTGTGACTTTTGGCGTGAAATTTCCTGTTCTTGCATGTAGAGTCAGTTATGGGCATCGTTAATCATTTCTTGCAGCATTCTGCGTCCATTCTGTTCAGCAGCTATTTTATATGCCTGTGGGTTGTTGAGTCGAGGTTTGTACTCTTACGATGCAGGACAGTACCTGGTTCCTGAGGCATCCGTGAAGAAAGTGTTGTTTGTGGGTAGCGCTTAGGCAGGTTGGCAAGGGTTTCCTATGGTCGGCCAATTTTTAGCGTGTTGCGCCTGTTAGTGTTTTTTTTTTTAGGTTTTTTTGCAAAGATTTGTAGCACAGGACCAAAACAAAGAAGAGATGCAAGTTACAGGATAAACAAACTGAACTGATCCACCACAAAGACCAGGACAAGAACAAGTCAGACACGTGGCTAAGAAACCTATCCAGCAGACGACTCTCAGAATCTGAGAAAGATGTCATATTATGCAGATTGAACTACAACTGCCGAGATGTGAACAGAACAGACATCAGGGAAGCCCTGAAAACTATATTAAAAGGCAACAGACTCACGGACAAAACCCAACAAGCCATTGACAAACTTTAATCCCCATCCTCAGCCGAAGGAACAACTAGGACACCCTGAACACGGAGAAAAGCACTAGATAAACTCCAAAAGACAAGAATATTATAATCCTACCAGTGGACAAAGGACATGACCGTCATTATGAACAAACTGGACTACTTTGAGAAAGGACCAGCACTGCTCACAGCTACAAACACTTACCAAAGGTGGCGATAGACCCAACACTGCAGCTAGGTAATAGGATCACCCAAACGCTGAAGTATGCAGAACAGATAACCAGAATGGACCACATGAGAATGAAACCAGAGGGCACGAACAGCCTTTACTTCTATGGACTACCCAAAATACACAAACCAGACATCCCCTCAGCCCCACTGTCTCCCTACCAGTCGTACCTTCACACAAACTGGCCAAGGACCTACAACAGAGACTGAAACACTAAGTTGATGAATCACGCCATTCCATCCACTCAACCCAAGAATTCCTCAATACCCTAAAGAATACAAAAATCAGCAGCAATGAGATTATGGTATCCTTTGATGTAAATAAAGAAATATTGGCCACATTACTAAAGGAAGCAGGAACACAGACCAGCAGCTCTATCAGCAATGATGATGTACTCCAAACTTTTGGACTTGTACTTCACCACACACTTCGTCTTTAATGGTCAAGTATACAAACAAGTCAATGGTACACCCATGGGGTCACTTTTATCTCGGGATTCATTGCAGTTGCAGTCATGCAAAGACTAGAACACCTTATCCTTCCCCCTCATTCAACCTAAGCTGTGGGACCAGTACGTGGATGACACAGTTTGTCATTATTAAAGGCACCGACCTAGTAGAGACCTACCACCTCATTCATAATGTATTTGCTGGTATTAAATTCACTAGAAGAAGAAAACAATCAGCTTCTGTTTTCTCGATGTCAGAGTTGAACATATGACTAACGGTGAGTTTCCCAACCTCAGTATACAGGAAAGCAACCCACACTGACTAAATCCTTAACTTCTACAGCACCCACCCCAACGTCCACAAACAAAGCTGTGTTAGGACTAATCTATTTAAACAGGTCACCACTCACTGCAACATGTCAGAACTATGCAGGAAAGAGGAAGAGCACCTATGCAAAATCTTCGCTACGAACAGACATCCCTGCAACTTCATCCGCAGGTGTCTACTAAGTATACAACAAGAAGTGGACGTAGTATGCCCTAACACACTGGCCACACTGCCCTACGTCAAGAACATATCCAAACTGACAGATTCCTACGACCACTAGCAATCATGGTATGACAAACACTCAAGGATTAAAGACCTCATTTCCCCCAGAATGCAGAGCTAACGTAGTTTACAAAATACCATGCAATGACTGCCACAAGCATTTACATTGGACAGACAAGAAGGAAACTAGCTATCAGAACACACGAACATCAGCTAGCAGCAAAACAACTTTCCCTAATATCAGTACACACGACCCATAAAGGCCAGTGTTTAACTGGGACAAAGTAACCATAGTAGCCCAATCCAAACATAGACGTGCATGGGAATTCCTAGAGGCATGGTTCTCAACCCATAATGCAATCAACAGCATAGAATTGGACCCTATATGCAAACCCATACAGAACAAAACTAGAAATTAAACAACTCACCATAACAGACTGGACAGTATAAATTCCAAGTGGAGTAGCATAACATCGCTTCATCGGAGGCCGCACTGATGATGTTACCTAGCATGGTGACGAAGCGTCTGAACAAAAACAATCCAGCTTGGCAAGCAAGTCAACAGCTTAACCCCTTACCATTTTAATCTTTTGAAAATCTTCCACGTTGTGTCAGTTGTACTATTTGGAGACCGAATCACTTTTTGTGCTCGGAAATCTCTTGGAGAAATATGAAAATGAGTTAAAGGTTCGGCTTCCTCCTTACGTCAATGACCATGCTGAAACTTTTGCCGTTGTACTGCGTGGTCAGCTATAGCAGATGTTTGGATACAAGAGCTGTACAAAAATGTTTCAGGAGTTGTCAGAATCCATGATGGACATACAAGCCAATTCCAGTTTGAGAAGGGGAGCAAGTAGGAATCTCATGTTCACCCATGTGCTTTAATTGAGCCCTGGCCTCCAGCTAAGAGGCATGAATGCTCTCATTGAGCCACACGACCCCTTTGAATTGATATTTTTTTTGTTTTTTTTTAATCCTATCCATTAGAATAAAGGTGATTGTGCAGTTTTTTTTTTATAAACCAGCTCATTTTACTGACCTTTATAAGACCCTGAGACATAGGAACAGAAGTAGGCAGGCTATTTTCAAACACACACACACTTCTTTTCCGCCACCCAGCTTGCATCTCCTGCACCATTCACTGAGATCAGAGCTGATCTGAAATCCTCAACTTTGCTTTCTTGCCTTTTTCATTTGACCCTAGATTCCCTGACAGATTATTAACCTGTCTTTGCCTTGAGTATATCTAATGATCCTGGTTCATCAAGCTCTCTAAGAGAAACAATCCTTCCTAATCCCTATCTTAATATCAATGAAAGGATTGCCCATTTATGTCCTGTGATCTTAAGCATTCCTTCAAGAGGAAATTGCCTGGAGTTGTTGGTTTGTGGGCTATCCCTATTCCAAGAGGTGTAGCACACAAGCCAACAGCCACACTTTGCCAGTTATTCTCTAAGATGAAAGTCACCATACCCACAATAAGCAGGACAAATGTGATATACAAAATACCATGCAGTAACTCTAAGAAACACCACATAGGACAGAGGGCCTGGAAACTCGCCACCAGGTCACATGAACACCAACTTGCAGCAAAACGGCACAACCAACTCTCCCTCGTTTCAATACACTCTGACATAGGAGAACATCAGTTTAACTGGGACAAAGTTACAGTACTAGGGCAAGCAAAAAAAAGACAAGCATAAGAATTCCTGGAGGCCTGGTTTTCAACTATCGTGCAATTAACAAGCAGGTTGAAATAGACCCCGTCTACATACCACTACATACAAAACTGCCCACCGTGACAAACCGGACTATCTAAATTCAGAGTGGGACAGAACAACAGCGCTTCAACAGAGGCTACACAGCACTGACTATTCATCTAGAAAGGAGATGAATCATTTGCATGAAAACCAGTCAGCTCAGTGAACCATCCAACAACTCCAACGCAACCTGAGCTACAGATTTTTTGTTAAAACAGGAAACTGCCTCTCTACACCTCCCCTGTCAAGCTTCCACTCCCACACATCCCAAATGTCCTCGTTTTTCAAGGACCACAATTTCCCCTCAGTGGTCGAAAACGCCCTCGACCGCATCTCTAGTGTTTCCCACAACTCATCCCTCACACCCCCTCCCCGCAATAACAACAAAAACAGAATCCTCCTCATCCTCACGTACCACCCCAGCAACCTCCAGATCCAACATATCATTCTCCGCCACTTCCACCACCTGCAAGGATATATTTCCCTCCCCACCCTCATCTGCCTTCTGGAGGGACCGCTCTCTCCGCGACTCCCTCGTCCGCTCCACACTCTCCACTAGCCCCACCACCCCCGGCACTTTTCCCTGCAACTGCAGGAAGTGCTACACCTCCCACCTCACCTCCATCCCAGGCGCCAAGAAAACCTTCCACAGTAAACAGATGTTCACCTGCACATCCGCTGTTCCCGATATGGTGTCCACTACATCGGGGAAACCAAGCAGAGGTTTGGAGACCGCTTGGTGGAACATCTACGCTCGGTTCGTGACAAACGACAACACCTCCCATTCACGAACCACTTCAACACCACACCATCACCCCACCCCCAACTCCTTGGACAACATGTCCATCCTGGGCCTCCTCCAGTGCCACAATGATGCCACCCGAAGGCTGGAGACACACCACCTCATATTCCGCCTGGGAACCCTGCAGCCCAATGGTCTCAATGCGGACTTTACAAGCTTCAAAATCTCCCTGCCCCCAAGACCAGCCCATCTCGTCCCCGCCTCCTTGACCTGTCCGTCTTTTCTCCCACCTACCCGCCCCTCCCTCCTCACTGACCAACCCCCATCCTAACTCCCTACCTACACTCACCTTTACTAACTTCATCCCCGCCTCCTTGACCTATCTGTCCTCTCTGCACCTATCTGCTCTTCTATCCACCTTCTATCATTGTCTCCCCCTCTCTCTATTTATTTCAGAGTCCCTTTTCCCTCCCCCATTTCTGAAGAAGGGTCTAGGCCCGAAACGTCAGCTTTCCTGCTCCTCTGATGCTGCCTGCCCTGCTGTGTTCATCCAGCTCCACACCTTGTTTTCTCAGACTCCAGCATCGGCTGTTCCTACTGTCTCTGAGTGGTATATCATTGTACAGCTTTGGCAAGACTTTCCTATTTTTATACTCCATTCCTTTTTAAATACAGGCCAACTACCATCCTTATTACCTGCTGAAATTGGACATTAACTTTTTATGATCTGAGGAACCCTAGCTGCCTCTGTGCTGTAGCTTTGTCCATTTAATTAATATTTAACTCCTATTCTTTTAAGCTAGAGTGCACAAACTCACATTTTCTCACTTATATTGCATCTGCCAAAGTTTTGCACACTCACGTAACCTGTCTATATCCCTCTGCAGACTCATTGTGTCATCCACACTGAGTATTCATCTATTTGTGTCATTTGTAAATTTGGCATTCACTTCCCTTTTCCAGATCATTAATATATTGTAAATAATTGTGGCCCCAACACTGATCCTTGTGGCACTCCACTAGTTACAGACTACCATCCTGAAAATGCCTCCTAGAATTTTTGGAATGCTATTTGGAATGAATATTGATGCAAAATATTTATTTAGTTCCTGTCATTTCCTTTTTCCTCCATTATTTCCCCAGCTTTGTTCTCTAAGGGGCCCATGTGCACTTTGCCCTTTTCTTGTTATATACTTAAAGTCTCATTTCCTACTGCTTGCTCAAAATTTATATCGCCCCTTTTTGGGTACCTTTTATTTGTTTTTAAGCTTTCCCCAATTTTCTGGTTTACAACTAACTTTTGCCATATTTTATTTAATTTCAAAAGCTGCCTTTCTTCCCTAGTTAACCATGGTTGGCTTATCCCTTTGTAGAATTCTTATTCCTCACTAAGATATATCTTTATTGCAATCATGAGCTATTTGCTTAAATGCCTGCTGTTGCTTATATCTATTTTCTTCTATGTATTGACTAATTTTAAACTGTGGAGCTCTGCAGATGGATAATGTTTCCATTTAATGCAGATGGTGAGTATACTTCATTAAAAGAGACACCACTTAAAATGCACACAGAGTTTGAGTGGGGAAGCTGTGGGGACTTTTTTTCTCTGCAGACAGAAGAAGCTGTCTGAGGTAAGTGAAAGACTTTCCATTTTATGGGAGTTGAGAATCCTGATTTGGCTGGCCTGTCCTGAAGGACTTCCTTTACCTCCCCATGACTGACCTGCATATTAGTGAGCTCTTCTCTGTTGCCAGCTGGCAGCTTTTGATTGCCTGAATTGCATCTCCACCTGCCAGCAAGCTGCCACTGTTGACAATGTGCAATATACTGAGTTTACTTTTGGTTCAAACTATTTATCGGCTAACTACTAGTGGTTTTTCCAACATACTTGTTTTTAAAAATAGCTTTCCCTACTTGAGCTGAATTTCCAATCCATCATCCAAGGCTTATTAGACTTGCCTCTTCTGTATTGTTTACCTAAATTAGGGCCATTGAAAATGATGTGTCTTTTTTTTCCACTGATCCTTTACTTCCCAACCTTTTTGAGCTGGGAGAATACAAAGCTGAAAAGAGCGGCACATCACCCATTGTCCCTTTTTCATTTAATGGCTGAAATATGTGTGATTATTGGTGAGTACAAGCCAGCCTCTGATAGGTACACAAAACTATTCTTCTGCCAAAAAAAATCTAATAATTAAATCTAAACTTAATCAAGTAGTGGGAACAGGAGAGAAATGGCACCTAATGAAATCTAGAATTGGCATGTTCAGAAGAGAAGCTAAAAGCTTGTTGCCCTCTTTGCCATGGTTGTGTGTCCCATTATGTGGTGCATTTGCTTATTGTGTCATTTCAATTGCTACTCAAAGGTTGGTTGCCAATTATAGTTAAAATCTTTTAGTTCCTCTACATTTTTTCAGTTAATTCAGTGGAGTATTTTAAATGCATTTTTTTTCTGTTGGCAACTAATATACAATTAAGCTTAATGTTCTATTGCTAAATATGTTCCTGATTTGACTATATTTAATGACCAAAGGAAATTTCCCACCTAGCTGAAGATTTCCTAAACTTCATGGCATATAAACTACTGTTAGTGTCTCTTTATAGAAATTAAGACAGCTTTGTAAACAATCAAAATTTATTATGAATCTTGATTTCAGTGTCCATTTCCATGGATGATCTTAGCAATAACATTGTAAAAGTCATACATTAATTAAAACAACCAAAAATAATAAACCATCTGGATTTTCATCATTGGAAATTTCTCATTTTCATAAAAGATTTTCTCACAAGAAGGTGACTGTCTTCTTTTAAACAAAAGAGAAGTAGCTAAAGCCCAAGAGGGGAAGACAAAAGCAGTAAGGAATACCATTTAAAATAGTTCTTATATTGTATCCCCTTTTCATGGATGGTATTAGCCCCGTTTTCAACAGATTAATGACTGTGTGTTTAAGATGTGCATTCACTATTTGTATGGGAAATGTATTGGTAGTAAAATACACTTCAACAAAAGGAAACTTTAGAACAAGGAAAGAAACAAGATATTTCATTTCCATTTCAAAGACTTTGTAAAGATCAATCTGATCAAGTTCAGCCCATGCAGTTCAATCTTTTAACAGCTTGGGGAATGGACCTTTGAGGACAGAGGGTGTGTGATCTGAAAAAAAATGCCAGTTAACGTTGCGTTGAATGGTTGGCTAAAGAATGAGAAACCTAGATAGTAAGTGATGAAGGGGAGTTAGATGGAGGCAAAATCAAGTACGTTGTAGCAAAAATCTCAATCTCCTGAGTAGACGAGAAAAGGACTGAGATGTCAAGTTACAGTATATATATCTTAGTACAGCTTATTCCAACTTAACATTATAAACTTCTTTGTAGCCATAGACATTGCCTTTAAAAACTCTTTAAAATTTCTTTATTCCATTGGCACAGTCCCACGAGTCTTTCGTTTATGATTCTGACCTTCAGAAGGACAATCTTGCATTGATGTATTCCCTTTCACAACCTCAGGATGCCCAAGCATTTTACAACTGATAGCGTTGTTGAAGACATTTATAAAAATGCAAATCCTTTCTAATTACCATATGTACCCAATGCTCAGTAGCAGGCTACTGTATATCTGGGTATTTCCTTCTTATAAGCAAGTTTAGATGATTTTCAGAGACGATGGGCTCATTGTTTTACAAACATTAAGCTGTAATTATTAGTCTTGATAACTCACCCTCTTCCCATGACATTGTTTTAAAACATACAGATACTTTCAATACTAGTGAAATATAGTTGATAAAATAAGTTTTATTTTACATTACTGTGATGAAGTTTCCTTTTAAGTGAAATGCAGATTGCTATACCATATCCCTTTTGAGGTTAAAATACTCAGTTATGCACTTGATTGATTTAAATTATAGTGACAATTGAACTTTAGCCATATTGGTTGCTCTTTTGCCCTAAGCAAAAGAAAGGTTTATCCAGAAAGTATTTTTTTTAACAGTTCCTGCCAAAGGTCTCTTGAAGTTGCCTTCTATGATTCTGAGAATATAGAAACTGTGAATTTGTCCAAGTCTCCAGTAATCACTTGCTCACCAATTCAGTACACAGGATCTTTACAATCTGAGTCCGTTGAAATAACAGTCCTTTGCCCTTTTTCCCACCCACAAAGTTGAGAAAATGTTGCCATCGCAGACATCTAGTTCCTTCAGCCTTTTGCTTTGTGTTTCACAAGAGCTAGATCTTTAGGATGAAAACAAAATTAGGACATTGTATAATAACTGATTCTGTAAATTGGTACATACCTTGACATTGATTCACTGCCATTATTTGCTGCCAATAAATGTTAAAGCATTTTGGTACTAAACTACACAATCTGTCTTCTGTTGCAACATGAGTTTACACTAAGTCCCAGTATTGTTACCTTTGAAATAGACCTTGGATTATTTCTTTCCCTTAACCAATGCCAATTTTCTCCCATCTTCTTCACAGGGAATTTGCTCTGATTTGAAGCCACCCGTTGTGCTTACTTTGTCTAATTTCTGTAAACTTAGTACAGGCTATTAATCTTTCGACCTTTCTGGGCCACAATAGCATCCAACACTGGAAGGAGATCCAGTGGTAGAGGGACAGAGCTCATTGAATCCATACATGTGGCAATTATTTCTGTGAAGAAGCAAGCAAGTCTTAGGGTGACTATAACTTAAGTGTCACAGGAGCATAGAACCAGCCCCATTGCTACTTTTATCTTTAAAAAATCAATCACAGTTTTTAAATGTACCCAACATCCTGACATTTGAAAAGGATATAATAGGAATAACTGAGCTGTAAGAGTGGTTGCAGAAACTGGAAATATTACACTGGATATGAGGCAACCTTGGGGGGGGATGATCTTATGCAATTCAAGATTCTATCAAGTAAAAATAAATCAAACTCATAATCCTGTCAACATAGTCACATATTTTACATTAAAGGGACACAAGCTCAAAAGACGGTGGGCAGATATTTTAGTTTTACTTCGCATAGGGAGTGGATACAAATATAAAGACTTTCTGAAAGAGCTGATTGATATTTGATGAGAAGAAGCAAGGGTTACGAGAAATAGAGAAATGTCTGTTAGTTTGCAAACTGTGAGCATCTCAACTGAACACTGGTCTCTTTCATTCCTTACAATTTCTGTGTCCCTTTATATGTCTTTGATACTTGTTAAACCTGTTAAACCCTTGGGGAGGAAGAAGTGGAGTGGGTGGGGATGGCATTCAGGATGAATTTGCAAGTCCTGGAATGATAGAAATTCTCTGTAAAGGGTCATTGGAGTAGGAAAGTATTCCCCAGAGGTATTTTGTCGTTTTACAGGTAATTAGCTTATTTTAAAAACACTTATTTTAAATAGTGCCTTTCATGACTTTAGAAAATCACATAGCACTTTATAGATGCAATGAAGTATTTTTGACTGTAATCTACGAAACATTGCACAGAATGAACTCCTGCAAATAACAATGAGATAAATTACCAGATAATTTGTGATTTAGTGATGTTGATTGAGGATAAATATTTTAACTCAGGACTCCAGCGAAATCTCTTGCTTTCCTTTTGTGCCAAAGGGTCTTTTATATTCACCTGAGACGGCAAACGGAGCCTCGGTTTAACGTCTCATCGAAAAGACGGCCCCACATATAATGCAATGCTGCCTTGGTCTTGAGTGTTGAAATTCACATTAGAAGTGCAAATCTCTTGACTGAAATTAAACCCACAACCTTCTGACTCAGAGCTGAGAATGCTTGCACTGAGTCAAACTGAAACTGACTTTTTAAGTTCTGCCATGAACATTTAAAGTACTCTTGTGTTTACTGCATATCTGAAATTATTTGAATTGCCTCCTGCCACATTCCACATGTTGCCACCTTAACCCCATTTGTTCATTAACTTGGCCTCTGCAGTTTGACCAAGTAAACAAACTAGTTTGGGTATCATGGTCACTTTGAGTGACTGCATGAAGTGTCAACTCTAATTTCAACTCATTTGATGGTTGAACCTAAAGACATATTTATTGAGCTCAAACAACATCTTGTTTGCTTTGTGTGTTTGAACAGCAAAACAGTTCTGAAGGATTATTTAGATGTGATGTAATTAACTAGTTGTGATCATAGTTAGTAGTGGGACTGGTCAATAAGGTGTAATGCATTACATGGCCTAGTGAGTGACCACTGGACTTGTTTCACTAATAGTGAAATGAAGGCACTTCTACCTTATAAGAGTGTAACCCCCGTTATCCATCTATTTGCTGCACTCTTAAATATAATGGTTAGATCCACTAGGAATTGCCTTGCCATCATTCCCTTCTGTGCCTGGAAAGCAATCATGTTGTGCCTACCTGTATATTTGAAGACTTCAGATACCAGTAGGCCCTGTGGCATATCAAGTAAAAACAGAAACACTGGGAAAAAAATCAGCAGCAGGTGTAGAGAGAAACACAGTTAATGTTTCATGATCGTCAACCTAAAATATTAACCCTGTTTCTCTCCACTGCTATTGGGTATTCTGCTGAGATTTTCCAGCATATTTTGTTCTTCTTGCAGATTTCCAGTATCTGCAATAAATTTTCATCTCTATTGTCGAATATTAGTTGCCTCAGACATATAAAGGGCAAGTTTTCATATAGCTCACATGGTTTTAGTCTGGATACTCTGCTTTTATTTATGTTACCTTCCTCTTGAGCATGTAAGTCTGTTGGTATTTCAGGTAGACCAGTTTCATTCCATTGAAATAGTATGAACAACAGGAAACTAGTTAAGATTCTGATGTACAGACCTGCCTTTAGTTTCGAGCCACCTGTCCTTAGAAGTAACCCTAAGAAGCTGGTTCACTAGGAAAACTGCCTGCCGAATTCGTCTTCTGAGGCACTGGTGAATCCTGTATTATGCAGTGACGCCTGGTTCACAACATTGAGGAAGAAATCGGGAGGGTTGGACTGGAAAGCCAGTCTTACAGTTAGTAGCCTTACAAATCTGACAAATTTACTTTGGCTTACGAACTAGGAGCCAATAGCACCAGTACCCCACTAAACTCCAGGCAGCTTTAAATTATCCTAAAGATGTGCTAGCTACAAAATAAATGCATTTATTTGGGCACCTGTGTACGTTTACTTTGGAAATCAGTCTCCCAGATGCCCCACTGACGTCAATATAAAAGCAAACTATTGAGTCATCTCCTTTGGGGGCAGGGGAAATTATTGAAGACTTAAAAAAGCAGTGATTAAAGGCAAGAAACTCCCCATGTGCACATGACAAGTAAAACCATAGTGACATTGCAATTGGCTTCCCAAGAGTGCGGAATTTGTTCTTTCAACACCGCTGTTTCCCGTTAGATTGTAACGTTTGTTGCAGTCAATTGAGCAGACCCTAATTTTAACAAACCTTAAGGGAAGGGAACTCTTGAATGCAGAGGCATGCATCTTCTTTGCAAACACTTGTGCCTTTGCATTTTCCTCCTCCATCTTCTACCTGAAAGTAAGAATTAAAGTGAATTACTGGTTTGTCACCTAACATTAAGTTGAATGTGACATGTTCTAAAGTAGGGACTCAGGAATGCAGCCAGTACAGAGCATTGTTAAACTAGCACTCTGAATTTTCGAAGTTCTTTTTGTATGAGTTTGAAGGCTTGACTTGTGCTGTTCAGCCAATTAACCTCCCTCATTACTTGCCACAAACTATTTTTTTTGAAAGGGATGTTTTTTTGCTATTGTGCACTCAGGACTTGCATAAAATTGTAATGACCCCCTTGAAAACACCATGTAATTTCACCCTTAAAGCATAACTTGACAAAACATTGCATGTGAAGATTTATCAAGTTTGTTTTCTAGTGAGTCTTGTTCTGTGAAAAGTAGCATCTTTTTGTATACCTTGTTATAAAATTCAGTTTATTTAGCACTGGTTGCCCTCCTCAAATAAAACTCTAATAGTTGTACCTGGGCCAAATGCAACAAATCTTGCAAAATCTTCAAGAACTATTATACAGTGGTTTTAAACTGTCTCAGTATCAAAAACCTCGTAAATTGAATACGCAGATGATAAATGTATAGGAATCAGTCACTAACCTGCTTTCTGTCCACTGATCAGCAGAAGACTTGTACAGATAACAAGAATGATGTGGAAGAGGTGCTGAAGTCTCATTTTGATTTTTCCTTCTGTGAAGCTTGAACTGAAGCAGACAGAATACCAGATTTACCCAGCACTGGTTAAAATAAAAGCCTTAAGTTTGCCAACTGTGTCTGGCACAAATCACGTTCTAGTAGCAAGCCCCTTGCTGAACTGAGCTGCTGCATTTTCTAACAGGGTTAATGATCACATCAGGCAAGGTTATTGGTTATTAGCTGTGGTCAGGGCCTCTTTCTTTGTATGGAGTAAACTCACACCCCCCCTCTTTTCCATAAGCAAACAGCTGAGGAGGACGCCATGTAAATAGTAATTGTCTGTCTGTAGATGGGTAAGCTGGCTCCGAAACAAAAGGATGACCCTCTTTCAATTCAGCCTATTGGAAAGCATATGAATAAAACGTGACGCTTCTACATTCGCAAGTGTTTGACTTTGTATTGATCCCCTGAGCAGAAAAGCCTGACAGGAGCAGGAAGGACTCCCCCTCTCACACTTTACTATGCTGTTTGGAAGAACGTGAAAGCACGTACCTATTAGTTTTGCATTTTAGTATTGTTTTGCATCCTCATTTGTATGATTGCATGTTCTTGCATTCTAGTAAACTATTTCTATATCATGGTAGAGTCATGGGGTTTAACGCATGGGTCTCATACCACCAGTGGTTTCAACAACGATTAATGTGCCAGATTAATTGAGAATGCAACAGGGAAATTGGGGCACACACCAGGAGCCAACAACTCTCATACTGTATGCAAATGGCTTAAATGCTTTTACTCATTTTCCTGGGTTTCTTCTTTCCACAACAAGTCACCTCATTAAATCCCAGACCTTGCCTCCTCTAAACCCAGTTTAAACACAAGGGAGAATATCCTTGGGAATCTCTGCCCATTTACCAGTGTAACTGGCAAAAGGTGAGTGGAAATGTGGAGAAATTAGACAAACCATCATTTATGCTGCAGCTCCAAAACTTCTGACAAAATTACCTTGAGATTAGGAAGAGTCCTGAAAAATTCAACCCCATTGTTCTCTCCAATATAAAGACCACTTGCTTTCATCAGCATAGTTTAGATGATCTCTGGCCCATACACATGCCTTTGTTACCCTTGGATTTAATTTTACATCCTCTTCAATCCCATTGCTATGGAATATATAGGAACAAGAGCAGGCCATTCAGCCTCTTGAGCCTATTCTGCCATTTAATGAGAGATCTGAGGCCTAATTCCATATACATGCCTTTGGCCCATATCTCTTAACATCTTTGCTTAACAAAAATTTATCTACCTCAAATATAAAAATAACATCTAATCCAGCAACCTGCCATTTGTGAAAGAGAGTTCTAAACACCTAACACCCTTTGTGTGTCAAAGCGCTTCCTAATATCTCTCCTGTGTGGTCTGGTCTAATTCTCAGACTATGTCCCCTAGTTCTAGAATCACTAACCAATGGAAATAGGTTATCTTTCATACTGTCCTGAAGAAGGGTCTCGACCCGAAACGTCAACTTTCCTGTTCCTCTGATGCTGCGTGGCCTGCTGTTTTCCTCCAGCTCCATACTTTGTTATCTCTGACTCCACTATGTGCAGTTCTTGCTATCTCTGAGTGATTTATTTTTATCTAGCCTGTCTTTTCCTATTAATATCTTGAAGACTTTGATGAGATCACTTCTTAACCTTCTAAACTCTAGAGAAAGCAGGCCTAAGATGTAAAATAAAACAAAGAACTGTGGATGCTGGAAATCTGAAACAAAAACAGAAATTGCTGGAGAAACTGAGCAGGTCTGGCAGCATCTGTGGATAGCAGAGTTAAGTTTTCCAGTGTAGTGACCCTTCTTCTAATTTGTATAATATCTCTTCATAACTTGACCTCTGAAGTCCAGGTATCATTCTTGTAAACATACGTTGTGCTCCTTCCATGGCCAATATATCCTTCCTAAGGTCTGGTGCCTAGATCTGCTCACAGTACTCCAATTGAGGCCTAACCGAAGCTTTGTATGGTTGCAGCATAACATCTGCATCCTTATACTCCAGTCCTGTAGACATTAGGGCCAGCATTCTATTAGTTTTCTTACTATTTTCTGCACCTGTTTGTGGCATTTTAAAGATCTGTGCATCTGATTTCCCCAATCTCTTTGGACAATCACTGTATTTAATTGCATGTCATCTCGAAAAGTACCCTGATCTATCCTTTTTTTGTCTAAAATTGATAACTTTGCACTTGCTTGCATTGAGCTATGTCTGCCACAGTTTTGCTCATTCTGCTAGACTATCAATGTGAAGCCTCTCTGTGTGTCTGTTCCCTTTTCTATATGCCTACTTTATTGCCTTTATTTATTTATTTTATAAATATTGTTCTGAACAATATTATTCCTCAATCAGCATCATGAACAAACAGATGATCCAGTCATTATCACATTGCCATTTATAGGATCTTGCAATATGCAATTTGGCTGTCACTATATCGTAAAAGTGCTCCGTGAAGTCCTGAGAGTATGAAAGATATTCTCTAAGAGCAAGTTGCTTTCTTTTATAAAAATCCAACTTCTCCACCAAGTTTTCAGACAGCATTCCTAATTCCTTCCCTTTCTGGATCAGCAGCCATATCCTTAGACTTCTCTGCAAAACACCTTAAGATGTTTCCAACTGTCAGTATTACATACATGAAATTTCTTGTTCTACTGCTATGTTGTGGTATTCAAGGCAAATCTAAAACTAGAACAAATCTCAAATTGCATAAAAATGCTTTAAGACCTGGGAAAGCTCTTTTGTCTCCTTGCAGGGGCTCATATTCCCAGACTGAGCCTTCCAGCAGCAGTTTACACTCCTTTGTTACATGCAGTTCAATAAGAATTAACACAAAGTGCTAATGGCACTTTCATCCGTGCCAAGCTTCTCCATTCTGGGACTCTGAATTCAACAGTAAATTGATGCTTTTGCATTTGATGCTTCTTTCATTCATCAATTTGTTAACTCTCTATGTTTAAATACTGAAAAACAACTCTTTTATCCCAATGGTAGAATCAAATCGTGGTTCTACCTTTCTGCTATAAGGGTAAAGAGAAAATTTTATCAATGTAAACACAGGATGGTAATGCATAAACATCACTCTATCATCATGTACAAATATTTATTGTTTGAGGTTAAGATAAAGGAGAAGACGAAGGGGGTTTAAGAAAATAGTTTGCATTGGGGAAATAAATCAAGATTCCTCTTTGCATTCCAGGAGAATCCTACAATAGGAAAGTTTCAGCAAAGGAGAGTACAACCCAATAGTGTTAATTGTTGTCAAGCCAGATCTGGCAGTAAAATGTTGGTGTAGAGAGACCTGGAGTTAATATTGGTCTTTGTATGGGTCACGTTCTGGGTAGCGGATGTTTGGGTGAGCTCAAGTTTGTAGAGGGTATAAAGTAGGAAACCTATCAGGAGAACATTAAAATATTTGACTCTGGGACTAACAATGGGATGGATGCCCATCTTGGTTAAATAGCCAGCATATAATTACAGCCAAGGTTCATGCATGACAAATGCATACTCGAGCAAGCTACCAGAAGGTTATCCAGTGATAAATAGATGCAGTAACTGAAGGACCATAAGCATGGAGCCAGAGATACAAATTTAAATTATTCAAATTAGAGGGCAGGAAGAGTAACTTGATGTAGACAGTTGGGAGGCAATCAAAGTCACTTTCAAATTAAGTGCTAAAGCAGAAATTATGTTATCAATGAAGATTAGATAAAATAACCCCCTCCAGGGCTATGGGCCAAAAACTGGGAAATGGGATAGTATAGTCAGATCTTCGTTCACTGATGTGGAAATGATGGGCCAAATGACCTCCTTCTGTGATGTCAATGTCTATGAGTCCAATGGACGAAGGAAATATGGTTGAAGGGAAATAGGAATGGGATGGTAAATGTAATGTGAATTATTTTGATCAAATGGCCTACTTCCTGAATCATGATATCTATACATTTTTATGTGCAATTATATCTTTAGAGAGAAAAGAATGTGAGAAGTCAGTGGGATCCAAATGAATGTGGCCTGGAATAGGGGTGAGAGTTAATCTCACTT